TCAAAACATTCTGAAATATTGTATAATTGGCAATTTGGCATTCCATTTGCTTATGTTGGTAGAGCTCTTAAAGATTGGAATCTTATTTTTTCTTTTCTTTTTTCCTTTGGTAAGTATTGCTGGGAACAAAGGCTTCCAAACCATGTTTCACTTTGTCATTGGCAGCTCTGAAGAACTTTCCACTTGCCATTGATTATAGTTAGTAAAGAAATCATGCTTATTGTGCTAATACATCAAAATGGTCTAATCTGAAACCACTACAGAAATCAAAAATATCAAAATAGAAATAAATAACCAAATGTTTGGTTGGGCAGAATCGGAATCCCATTCCCATTCCTAGTGGAATGGCATTCCTCCATTTGAGGGAATGGCCATTCCCTCCCCCTCCCTTGGGAATGAGATCTCATCTCAACTGATTCCAATTTTCATATGAACTAAATAGGCTATTAGATTAGACCATTCTGATTCCAATTCTGATTCTGAAAGCGAACCAAATGGACCCAATATCTTATGTTAATGGTGAGTATGGAAATAGACAGGAGCAAAGCTCTGTCAATAATTTTATAACATGCTGAGTATAAGAAACATAGCATGATCTGAGAAATTGTTCATAAACACCCTCTTTTCTGGATAAAACCAAATTGTCTAAATCAATACAAAGAGAAAAATAAGTATGCACAAAATAGAACAATAGTTATGGTTGCTTAGGCGGATACATCAAATAGATCTATAAATACCTTATACACCTTGATACAAAACCACCATACTTTCCTCAACCATCCTTTTTTTGGAAACTGTCCTGGTTTTGGATCTCTAACATCCTATTTGTACAAGACAACTATCCTAATTTTCTCACTTTTAGACCCCATAGAGTACAAGGAGGTGATATTGTCACCAATGTTATGCCTAAAAGCATAACACACATATATCACACTTTCAAGTGCCGTGTATCAAGAGAACATGCATTTCATACATTAATTGAAGCAGGACNAAAAACTAGTTAAAAGACTAAACTTCAGTGTCAGTAAAAAAGTTGACCTCCAGTAATCACTATCTATATATATTAATTAACTGAAAGCAATATGAAAACATGTAATGAAGCTAATATGAACTGAAAACAATAACAAAAATTCGTAAAATAGGAAAACTCATAAATTATGATTTATCCTTATCATGAACATTGATCATGTCAATACTTCAAATGAAGATTCAATGGCCAATGATCAATACTCAAGCTTTATTAATACTTAATCTGGTTGAATAGCATTAAGTAATGCTAGCAGCTTACCAACCTACACATGTCAAAGAAGAAGATTTTATTTAAAAGTTGCTCAAATTTAAACATGCCTCTTCAAGTATGAGAAATAGAAAATCTTGCATAAAAGTTTAGTAGTTCCTTCCCATTTCAAGTAGCAAAAAACTAGCTCAATCAACGAGCATTTAAAACTAGCATAGAAATAGAAAACTTCAAGATATTAGTATAAGAGAACTTTATTAAAACAAACCCTTATTAAAACTAAATTCAAAAAATTATGTGAATGGATGGCATGATAAAATGCATAGGGATTGTGTTCTACATCTTTTGAAGATTTACTATATACATAAATATATGTTTTGTAAGCATGTCCATAAATATAATTGCTCATGACTTAGCATATATGGCATGCATGCAGGGGAGGAATGTATATAATTCAGATATCTGATAATCTCAGGGATGTGCAATTGGCTTTTATAAGTAATGTTTTTTTTTTTGTTTTTTGCAAAAAAAAATGAAAGACTTGTACTAGGAGGCAATTAGCCATGTAAAAAGTAATCACAATGTTAATGCTCATTAGATTTCTAAAAGCATAGAGATGCACATGTGCTCGAGCCATGGATTACTAAGCATTATATTTCATGCCTCAGGCACCCAGACAGATAAAAAAAATAAAGCCACCAAATGATGATATTTTCCTTTTCTCTTTAAGCTCTCTATATGGTGGTCCTGTATATTGACAGTCTCTTACATTGAGATTTTCCTTTACCTCCAACATAGACATACTCAGAAAGGACCACTACCTAATTTCAGAGATGAAAACAATGTTTTGTTATTGAACATTGATGCTGAAGCTAACAGATGGAGTGATGTTAGAAGAGTGAGGAGAGAGATGATTCACCAGGGTGTCCTAAAGAAACCTGGTTTCAACCAAACTGAATTTGAGCCAAAAAAAATAAATAATACATGAGATGTGTTTATCCAAAACAAAATTGTCACCAATTACTTTTTTCCTATTGTGAAAGGAGAATATTAAGGTGATTCATGAAAACATGTTGTCGTGGATAATTCCTTTTTCTTGAAATAAGTTATTTCTGTCACCTAAAACATTCAAACAAACCAGTCATGGTTAAAAGAAGTGAAATTAAATCAAAATAGAAACAAAGGGGTGAATAAGTAAATAAGAGGAACTTAAACCAAAAGTGAAAAATCTAAACCTAAAATCACTCTTGACTGTTTTTAATTTGGATTAAAGATTAATAAAATTATTAATTAATAAGTATAGAGAAACACTTGCTAATAGAGAGACATAAAAATACTCTCTCTCTTATACTTTAAACCCTAAATAGAAACAATGATTAAGGAACACGACTTACAATTTTATAGCAACTCTAGTACTCCTTTTCTTCACTTGTAAACTGAGTATAACATCCATCCCCTTTTGGTTTTCTTTTTGGTTTTTTTTATTTGGACAGAAAAGAAATTCAATTCACTAAGAACAACAAAGGGGGATACAATAAGCAATGACTAATAGACAAATAACACCAACAAACCACAAACAGAAACACAGGCCAATAAAAAAACCACTGAACTAAAAGAGAGCTAACAAGATCAAGTTTTCTGAAATCATCCATCAAGATATTAGATAACCATAGAGGCACTCCGTCTCTCACTCTCTCACCGAGTTGCTTAAAGAGAGCCCAATGCGTGTTGCTGTTGAGATGCCCTGTTACCCACTCTTTCAGGATGCTTCAGACCCCATCGTCGGCCGCAGCACCACGCCCGATTCCAGTAATGCTGCTGCCCACCACGCCAGTACAGCTCATTGCGATCACCACGGAGTCCCACTGGATTCATCGGTGATCAACAATTGGTTTCGAGGAACCATTCAAAACATACAGCAGTTGATAAACGGGGGGTGGAGGGAGTGGGCTACTGATACTTCCTTATACAAGCAAAATGTCTTCAGAAAGGGGAGTAAGCTTCTGATGTGCTCGATGAGGGTTCGTTCATTTCATCTGATGTTTCCATGGTTCCTCTAATCTTACACAAGGCAGCCTTTGCATCAGATATCAAGGAGATAAGCTTTTGGGCCTCTTATTATGGCCCAGAGTTCAGATTCTGCTGAACTCTGCATACACTGCATTGCAAGTTGTCCTCCAGGCAAGTATTGATGGAGCAAGAATAAAGAAGCAGGCTGTTGATGCAGAATGTGTATTGGATTGGTGTGCCAAACCATCGACGAAAATGACGGTCTGAGAGTGAAAAACAGATACGAGATTTGGGATACGCATGTAAATCCGGCGTCTCGTCTGTTGATGCAGAACGAAAATGACGGTCTGAGCAGACCTGTTGATGCAGAATGTGTAAACAGCCAACAACTGGGGGAAAAAGAAAGTTTCTATTTCTTTTTTTTTAAGTTTTTTTTTCTTAAAATAAGGTTTCTTTCGCCCCAAATAACTCTAAAACTTCAAATCTTGTTTCTAAATTATTAGATTTACAAAATTTTGTAAAAAATAAATATAAATCGTTAATTTTTTTATAATATCTCATGATTTCTTAATCACAATGTTTTGTGTTATCAGTAAATTTATGAAAATTTTATGAAGATATTTAGAAAAAATATAAATTAACAAAATAATTACAAATATAGTTTTTTATTTGCTTATAAAAACTAAATATGTTTTAAATTTATAGATTTATAGATTTATCTATCATATCCATACAACAATTGAAATTTCTTCTTTAATATTTTTTTAATTTTTTATACTTTTAGATTTAGAATTAAAAAATAAATAATAATAAATTATATTTTATCATTTTGATACAACAACTGAATATATTATAATTCTAGATGATTTATCATATTCATAGACCAATTAAAATTTCTTCTTTAATAATTTTTTTTATATTTTTTAAAATTAAAAATTAATTAATTAATTAATTACATTTTACCATTTAATCATAATAATTAAATATATTATAATTCTATGGATGATCCACAAAGCAATTAAAAGTTCTTCTTTAATAGCTATTCTTATTTATTTTTTATAATTTTTAAAGTTAAATAATAAATAATAATTACTAATTATATTTTCACTTAAAAATTGGGCCAATTTTATAATTGGATAGGAGAGTTAAATTTTCCATCCCATAAAACATTAAAACTTAAGAATTATAATTTATAAATTATAGTTAAGCATAAATATTAAATGAAATTATAATTAACTAATATATATATATATATATACCTCATTGAAATTTTATATATAATAATATTATTTATGTATAATTTATTAAAATATTTATGCGTATATCCAATATCCAAGACATACAGGGGAAGGTAGCTGTCTACCCTTTCCTTTCATCCCATATTATTGATTGGTTAAAATTTTCCGATATAATACCTTTCCAGTATATCATAAATTGCCCACAGCAGCCCATGACTAGAGGTCCAAATAAAACCATCTTGAAGCATCTAAGCCCAGGCCCAAATTTATTTGCTGTATATGCCAGTGCCTAAACCTTCTCCATTTGTATGTCTCTGTTTGTTGTGTCTATTTATGCAAATTGGACTCGGAGGACAACATTCATGCAAATGTGCTTTTGGTCATTTTAAGTTTTAGCATTTGAAGAACATCATTGAAGAGTGCAAACTCCAACAGAGATTAACACCTCGATCTTATGATGAAATGTTTTTCTATAAATATTATAAATTTCAACTTGTATCCTATATAGATGACCATCGGGTATAAAATCAGGAAAACAAGAAGGTTGTAAAGAACTGATTACAACTTGAGATGAAAGCATAATTACGACATGGTGGATAAGGGATTTACATGGATAAGAGACTTTGAACAAGATCGACCAAAAGACAAAGAAAAAATAAATAAATGAATAAACATCAAAATCCAAATGCAGATTCAATGACGACCTCAAGCAGAGCAGCTCCCGGAAGACCTTAATTTATTTGTTATTATTTGTTAGGAAGGAACCTCGAAAACACGGTATCACTATAATGCTCCTTTTCCCTTCTTACTCTTCTTCCATTCCACGAGCAACTTCAGAAAATCCATGACCTATGAGCAAACACGCAGGTGATTTTGCAATCAGAAAGAAAGTTATGGACAATAATATATAAATATGGGTTTCTCAACGACCCTGGCGTAGTGTGTACCTCAGATGGATCTCTCAGGGAGTAGAACGCATTGCTCTCTTTTGGCACTGAGGATACTAAAATTCCATAACCTCGCTGGCCCTCACGGAGGACCTGAAAGAGAAGTCAACTGATTTCTTACTCTTACCAAAATGAAGATCCTAAAAACGACTTGGAAAGAACATGATTAATTTGGCTTTACCTTAAACGCATCTTCATCTGTACGGTCATCCCCAACATATATGGGAAGCACATCCTCAGAATTACCTAGTCCTGGCATCATTTTCCAACCAAAACATTCGATTAAAGAATGATGAGAAATGAAAATGAAAATGATGATGGCAATTAGAAGCAGAATTACCAAGTGACTCGAGTAGAAATTCAACAGCTTTCCCTTTATCCCAGTCAATCACAGGACGGACCTCCAAAACCTACATAAAAAGGGTACCCAATGACAAAAATGAGAAATAAGATAAAAATCAGCATCTGCTTGGTAGCACAAAAAAACAGAGAGGGGGCATAAAAATGAGAAACAATAAGATTACCTTCCGTCCATGAGTCAATCGTAGACGTGGGTAATCTTTTAAAACATCATGAACGCATTGTGCAACTGCAGGCCAGTTCTGAAAGTAAACCGTAGCAGCGAGAGAAACTTGTAAGCATTAATTAATTATACAGAAAACTGTTGCCAAAGAAATGACATGATCAGCCTACAGGAAAGTAACCACTACCTTTTCATCTACATTTCGATAATGTACAGAGGCACAAAACTTGTGATTCTCAACTTTTGTACCTTTAATTCCTTTTGTATTCTCGACAAGGGTTCTAAAAACCTGTCGAAAATACAGCATAAAGAAAAAATTCAGTTGATACCATTGTAAAATGAGTAAAGAAAAAACTCAGTCAATTCCGTTATAAAATGAGTAAAGAAAAATAGATTTAATGTTCTGGATGACTTGTTACTCCAATCAGGATGTTACAAACCTCATCGATCATAGGTAAAAATTCACTAGCAGGCTGGAACAGATTTACTTCCTTACCCTACATTCAAAAGAAGCATCAAAACAAGACAGTGAATATTAAGGCACCAAGTAGAAGAATTTTATACTAAAGGGTTAACCTTTTCCAGTAAGTACAGTATACCTGCTTGTCAGTAGACCTAATACAGTTTGGATGGTCATCAGCACAGGCCAAATCTCTGACTGGCCCCATGATGTCCATTCCATGACTACCAGCATAATAAAGCTCCGTCAGTCCTACAAACTCGTATACCTAATACAAGTACAGGGAAGCAAAGAGTAATCAATATTAAATGCCATCTGAAAGAAGTAATCATATCACAAGAGCAATTAATGAAAGGCCACACAATTACCACAACATATCACAAAAACAATTAATATAAGGCCACACAATTACCATATCACGACTTCTTCCACTAATTATTGCCGTTGGAAAATATTCTGCAGCATCTCGCACAGCAATACGCATCTGATATTCATATCAGTTAATGAGAAAAACAAGTTTTTTTGGAGAAAGAATGAGAAAACAAGATTTTGATAATACTTTCTTATAAGTATGTAGGCACTTACGGCATTAGACATAAATGCACGGTCAGGATCATCTACAATTGGTGAAAGAGTACCATCATAATCTAAAAACAATGCTATTCTCTTGCCCTTCGCATAGTTCATGATATTCTCAAATGAAGTAAGTGCTGATGGATATTTAATCTACACAATCAAGGAATAAACAAGATTAGAATAAACAATTCAGTATTTTGAAATTCTTCAAGGGAAAAACAAAGAAGACCCAAAAGCTAACCAAACAATAAATATAAACATACCATCCAGGATGAATAAGCAACATCATTATCCTCTGATGTAATCTCAATATTGAAATCCTTGGTTAGCTTCTTGCGAGGAGGTGAGGAAGCCTTCATGGCATCCAGCCAACCAGCAGCTCGGACATCATCGAGTTTTCCTGGCACAGGTTTCTTTCTTGGAATTGTTAAATACAAGCCAGAAGGGAACGCTGCTCCGGGTGATGAGTAAGACAACAGACTGGAGATGCCTAACCTAGACTTACTCACAGGTACGGGATCAGTGAGAACAGGAGCAGCATGTTTTGATTTCAAGTCCATCGGATCCAGATTATATAAAAAGGTTTACAAGGATTATAACAAAGTATGTGGCTTGTAAGAGCAGGTTGGTCCACAGTCCACTTTGGGTCAGAAGGTTCAATACAAAATATCTACTATCTTTACCCAACCCTTTTATCTATGAAAAACCACCTCTTCAAAGTTTTCTTATCAGTAGTGTTGTGTGAGCAGTCCATCAAGTGCAAGCTTCCTGAAAACTGCCAATAACGGGAGTATGTTATTACTCAAATAGAACCCAAGGAATCCCTGATGTAGGTACACTACAGGTTAATACCCAAATAGAACTCGAACTGCAGTTAAAAATATACCTTTTCATCTCCAGAACTACAAAGCATTTATATGAGATAACTGAACATCATGTGGAGAGTAGATTTTGAGAAAGAAGTGACCGTACAGTCTGCACAAGCCAAAAGGAGGAAAAGAAAAAATAATTATAAACTAAAGAAAATTAGAATTCATTACAAAAATAAATTAAGCAAAAGATGGCTACAAGTTATTTTACATGCAAGTTTAAGAATAAAGTATAAGCAATCTCTTTTAATTGTAAAAAGCTAGATTCAGGTCTTATATTGGACAATCACCCGAATATATCCAAAGAGTTAACTCCGGGCAGCAAAAGATGTAAAGAGAGTAAGAATAGTTTGAGAAATTTGTTTAAGAGGGTATACTCAAAAAAATTGATCTGCACGTTCCCCCAGAAGATGGAGGGGTTCAATTTTTTCTTGCGGTTTTGATTAATATTTCATTTATTTCTTTGGGATTTTCAAGGTTTGGGAGAATTTATTATAATAGAACTATATATTGCTTAAAATGTTTAATTAAAACAGAGCAGAAAAAGGTCCAATCCCCATGTTTCTATCCCCTAATATGGTACTTTTTGGTAGATGTTACCATAGCATATTAAATTAATGTTCATTCTGTATTAATGTCATTTCTTATAAACTTGTACCACGATATATTAGAAAGAGAGATGAACACGGTAATTGCAAATGAATATTCTTCTACCACAATAACCAAAAAGAAAGAATGAAATTAAGCAAGAAGAAAAGAAATTTGAGGAAAAAGAAGTTGACCATAGAGAGATGAAGATGGGGTAAAGCAAGCAGATTTCTTTTCAAACTATAGAAAGAAAAGGAATTAGTATACAGATACACGACTACAGGACCCCTTCTACCCACCGATGCATAGTTTCATTTTCATCTGAACATCACTTCTATCACAGTGAATAAAGAATAACATATTCGATTGACAAACTCACAGACCCAAGTTTTATGTTATTTTCTATATTGAATAGAATTGTCTTTATCAAATAACGAGGGAGAGGTAAAAGATGACAGTTAAGAGTAATTTCTCCTTTGAATGCAATGTATTCAAAGTGCCGAACAAGAACAGTATCCCTTAATTTGGTAATTACCACAATTATAGGTATTTACGAAATACGATAAAAAGGGAATCGAAGAGAGAACTAAACTCCCGCCCGCAATGGGACGAGAATGACGACAATAACAGCTTTGAACGTTTTACCCGGAAATATTTTCTGAAGAATAGAGATGCATCGTACAATGCATCAAGGCTAGAAGAACAGACCTTAATTTATTATCATTTATAGTTTTACCGACAATAAGATCATCATCAAGTAGCATCTTGCTATTGATAGTAGCCTAAAGAAGTAGTGATAATATAGAAAGATCTAACATATTAGTGAAAGTATAATAAAAAATCAAGCATGCATCTTTAAATCGCCAATTTCATTACAACTGACGATTACCGGAAAAAAGAAAAGAACAAAATAAAAACGTTAGTGGTCGGTTATAGAAAAACATGAATTGATATTAAGCTTCGAATACTGGCCCACGAAAATTGAAATTCTACGGAGTGGAGTGTGGGCGCTTTTTGAGACCGATTTTCAAGAGAAAAACGCCGTAATTCTAACACTCATTTTTAAAAAAACGCTTATGTCCCACGTAGACAGTGAGCAACACACATCGGTCAACCGTTGGGAAACGGTGAACGCATGCCTGATTTTTTAACAATCGGCAGAACTAAACAATAATAAGATATATGGGCGTTTGAGCGTTTGTTGAAACGCCTATATCGATCCGACGTGGCCGTTTTTTGAAAACGGCAACGGTTCCAAACATCCCCTAAGATAATAGTATCTGCGCACGTAGTAGTAGAAATCAGAACCCAAAAAAAATTGAGCATACGTAGCAATTAGCGAGCCAATAAGATTTTGGATCCAGGGAACAAAAAATTCAAAGTGAAATCAAACATGGAAAAAAGTTAAAACAAATTTAACAAAAATAAATATAATAGTATAAGCTCGGATATCCTACCCGCAGGATATATATCTTCGGTATTTACATGTTACAAAGAGATGTTCTCAATGTAGAGCTGTGGGTAGGAGGAGATCCGGATTCTAACATTTTAACACCACATGATCCAAAATAACTACCTGGAAAGAAAAAACGTAGAATGATCAGCTTTTTTTTGCAAGAACGGATGCTAATAAAACCGCGGTGAGACCAGTTTTTCGTGCATCTTTTTTTCCCGTATATGTGACTGTTTAAGTTAGGATAGATCGGGCGATATTGATAAAGGAAACGAGAAACAGACCTTTTTTTCTCGTTGCGGTTTGCAGCAATCGACAAAAAAATTTAAAGCAAATAAATCAAAGGAGATAACAAGAACGGCATTACATCAATTATAAACCACATACAGTCATGATGAAGATGAAATAATACGGTTAATGTCGGCAGATTTTCTCCACAAAAGGAAATGTTACACCATCTAATGGAGTCATTTGAAAATTGAAACATACACCGCTAGCTTACCATTTACCTAAAAAAGTTACTGGTAAATAAAAAAGCTATAAATTGTCAAAAGCCGAGAGGACTCACGATCCCGCCCGAGTTAAAACAAAACTAGCTCAATCCAAAAACGTCATGTCATCAACTCGCAAAAGACAAATCGATACGGTAAAATCCTAAAATATATACAACAAAAACTCCTGGTGCATATTGTTTAAACCATCGGGGAGAAGCCCTAGCGTTCAAACGACGACGCGGCCCTCCCAGGTAAAGATCGACAAGAGAATCAGAGAAAATAATGTCTGAAACCAAATCGAACAACGAGAAACGTCAATCATCAAAGAACCGTCGGAAGAAAATCAAACACCCCCTTGTAGAAATGTTTGAAATCAAAGCTACAAGCTTCTTAGATTAAATCGAACAGCATTGGGCACAACCCCAGAAAGACTTCATAAGAACGAATGAAATGGAGAGAAGACAATGATAGCATACCTGATTCACGACGTCTCAAATCGTAACTCTGCTTACACGGACCAGAAGCGAAAGAAGATTCAATCCTGAAAATGCAGGAAACGGACGGATATCCTTAGATCCCGACCACCGACAGGAACCGCTGAAATCGTTCGCAGAAATAAATAGCGGGAGCTGTAGACAAGAATGAGCAATGAAGGCAAAGCTACAAGAAAGAAAGAAGAGGAAACCTGGGGAGAACGAGTCGAGAAAGAGAGAGAAGAGAAGCAAAAAGTAGAGAGCCGCGTTTGAAGGCAGCGAAATTGCAAAGAAAGCCCTTGAAAATCGCAGAGAAAAGTGACGCCAACAACGATGTATACGCACACGCAAGGAAGTAGGAAAACTGGAAAAGAGGAAGGGAAGGCGGGTGAGTCGTTTGGGTATTTATAGAGTTTCGTTCGCCGAGGAGACGTGGTAAACAAGGCAACTCGGTTGTTGAATCGGGAAACACCACCAGAAATTACAAAATCTTTATTTAACAATAAAATAATAACAGAAACATAATAAAAAAGCGATTTTGTTACCATAATTTATTTTCGTTCCATTAAAATAAAAACCGTCACATATGTTACGGTCGTTTTAGACTATGCCCTAGCAACCTCTGGTGGACCCACATCTGAAACTCTCGAGAAACGCACACGTGTATGCTCTGCATTCCAACCATGCACTCGGCGACACCTGTGACTGTATCAAGGGTGACGTGGACACGCGTCAGAGCGGGCCCGCCACGTAGGAACGGAGTCAATTGCCGCAAGTGTCGCTTTCTAAAACAGCTGGTGGTCTCCGTACGGGGAGGTTTTAAGTTTTAACTTTTAAATAAAACCGTGGAATAATAGAAGCAGAGATGGATCCACGTGGCAATGAGTGGGTGCCAGGTCACGTGCGGAAATCGAGCCCGGGAAGCCGAAAAAGCGGTCTTTCCTTTGGGGGTGGTCTCGCCCCTCGTATTCCGTGTACGGTTCACGTGGTCCCAGTCCGAGCTGGCAAGGTCAAAAGGACCTCCAAAAAAGGGAGGAGTGATGTGAGCAAATTCCATTTTTTGATAAGGAGCACACCCTCCCTCTCTCTCTCTCTCGTCCCCTAAATAAAATTTAAAAGTACATTACGGGTTTAAAAAGACAAAAACATCCCTTTGTAACCGAGCTTTATCATTAAAAGCAGAGGTGGGTTGGTTGTCTTTTCACGAGGGAATATGCACGGTTCGGTTCGTCGTCCAAAAAAAAAAACGATCGTTGTCCATAAAAAGGAGGAAGGTCAGATTTCCTTTTCTAAACCGAGTGTTGTACCTGTACGCGAGTCTGTGGGGCCCAAATAAGGTTGGTTGTTTTCGGTAAACACGACGGTGTGGTCGGTTGGCGTGGGGTGACTTTTTTAGACTCGCTCCCTCACCATCTTGATTCTTGTGGTTTGAGTAGTCGTCGCTGCGCTGCGGGTCTGCGACCCTGCCTGGGTTCTAGGGTCCTTGGACTTTCTTCCATTGATGATTGAACTCCAGTCTTTTTAATTCAATTTTTTAATCAAACTTTGATCCTTTCTAGTCAAGTTTCTAAATTCAAAACTTAGGTCAAATGGTTTCTACTTTTCAACCATTGCGGGAAATAAATATTCAATGTGAACGTGGGGAATAAGTCACACAAATGCCTCCACTTTAATTTAATTTAATTGTGTCTGGCATGTTTCCATTGGATTGTATTTTTTCTATTTTAATTTGGTACATGGATTGTAATTGTTCAATAATCAGGCAAAACCTTTTACTGAATTCGACATATCTCCATCGGCCATCGCTCAACAGTGAGCTTTAAAATTTAATTGCAACTCAGAAAGATGAGATGGTTCCTTACTCGTTCTAACAGGATTTGCTTCTGTTAGATTTTTTTTTCCAAATGCTAATGGTACAAGCCTTTTTCTGTCCATATCGGTCCCCCATCTTTGGGCCCAGCTGGGTTTCTCACAGATAATTCCAAATTGACGGTATTAGATGCACTCAATACAACAAAAGTAATGTGTTCCTCAGCACCTTTACTCATTCTCTTTTTTCTTTTTCATAAATTGTCACTTTATCTATTGATTCTTTCAGGAATGACAATACTATCGCATTTAATATTATTATTATTGATGATGATGATGAATACCACCTGATTGGCTGATTCCTTACCACTTTGATGATACGGTTTGTTTGGTTGTAAGCTTTTTTTCAGGTACAATAAATTTCCGGAACCAAAGTGATCCCTTTTCTCTAGTACCAAGTGAGAAAAAAATATGTGGGTGACTTTCCTTAAGAAAGAAACGATGAAGTAGTTTCGTTTGACAAGAGAAAGTAGGGTTGCCGACCATTTGATTTTGATTTATAGATGCCAATACCTTTTTCGTATGATCAAATGGTGAAAACAAATCCTCTCAATGAAAAATAATCAAATGCTACTTTGTATACAATGTCATACTGAAATTACTGTCTTTCATACGACAAATGAGAAACCTCAGCCACAAATTTCGTGGGACCTGTATCATAATAGGGAATGCTAGGGGTGTTGTATGGTCAAAGTAAAACATGACGGAGAGAAATGGACCTATTAAGAAAATCAGGAGGTGTGCATGATTCCAAGATTTGTTTGAATTGAATCTCTCTCTCTCTCTCAGATTTGTTCGACCTGAAACCATTAAAATTTAAAACTCAAGGAAACACAATATGTTACACCCTGGAACCCTTCTAGAATGAATTTGCCCTTCAAAATCCTCCATCTATCATGTCAAAAGCAATTGGCCATGTCTTGACTTACTAAACACAAACACAATTCTGCCGTCATATATCTAATTTGAAGATGGAATGCCCTCAAAAGAATTTTGTATTTCTGGTATGAGTGTTCGCATTATAAATCTTGGGTTGCTTTTATTACTTCAGTTGAGGATGGAATGCTTCAAACTTTTCATCAATTTCTTGTTTTGCTCATTCAATAGACTATAGAGGATGTCATGTTGTTAATTCATTCAACAACTGAAACCCTTCTTCCAAGCTATTATATTTCAGAGGAGTGATGTTGGACTTGCCAACTTTTCAATATTCAATATGTGTATAGTGGCGTGCATGTGAATTTATATTGACCAGATCTATAGATAAACTAAGTCAGTCTAGTTTAACAAAGGAAGAGTCTCTACCTAATTTCTTGGAATTATTTTTAATAATTTATGTGTTTTATAAGTTCAAAATAACTATAAGCTAAAAAAAAAAAGAAAAATGAATATTAGTCAGCTATTTAAGTGTCTTTCTTTGTAGCTTTGGATACTTATTAAAAGGAAAAATCTATGATGTCGGGAAGACATGATACTGAAAAAAATTTGACCAATCAAAACTATCGTAAATTTTGATGAAAACCCACCTGATCAGTTATCACTTTTATGATGTCAATTGATTGGTTACAAGTTTTTTAGTATCATGTCTTTCTGGCATCATATATAATGGAATCTTTAAACTGTGTTTGGTTTTAAAGAAAAGGTAGGGAAAGGCAGAAGAAAACGCTTCCTTTTTTCTTTTTGAAAGAAAAAAAGAAAATGCTTTAAGAAACAAAAACGTTGAGATTTTAAAAACAATACAACTTTTGAAAGTGTGTTTCCAAAGTTGCTTTCTAACTTTATTTCCTCTTTCCTTTTCTTCAAGTTTTACACACACACACAAAAGAAAAATACTGTTTGGAAGTTATCTCCAATGCCTCGTTTATTTTACACTTTTGCCGTGACACAAAAATTGCTACAACGTTTGTAATTTCAGTTTATTGGTAAGTTGTTTTCCCATATCATATCTTTTTCATATCATAATCGAACCCTTTATCAATGGGAAAATCTATGATGCAGAAAAAAAGATATGATATAGAAAAAGTTTGACCAATTAAAACTCACCCATGAATTTTGATAAATAACACCTTTTTTTCTTGAAAATGATAAATAATAATAATAAAACACGTTTATAATTTCAATTTATTGGTTAGTTTTTTTCCCATATCATATCTTTTCCATATGATACTCGAACCCTACTGAGTTTGCTTTATTCTCTCACCACAAGAAAAAGAAAATGCATAAATAAATACTGCTTGGAAAGTTGGAAATCAGAAATTAATTTGGAGATTTTTTCCCTAATTTTCGTTAGGATGAAAAGCTAAAATGCATAATAGGATTCATGTGGCCAAAAACCTGAAATAGTTAACATAAAGTTGTGTTGGTTGATGCATTAATTAATCTAGAATAGAAAGCTAACAAAAAAAGTACACAAGACAAAAATAACACTAATACAATTCCTTTTGCCTTCATATTTGCTCTTCGATCCATCCATTGATTCATTGAATAGAAAGCTTGAAATAGAACAAAAGTGAACTGCTTTTGTACTGATCAACCTCTAAAACAAGCTAAGGAATTGGCCGTCCAAACGAATATGATTAACATTCTTTTCAGTGAAGAACCGGTGTAGTATTATAAGGTCAATAAAGTAAGCACGCCAACCAATCATAAGGGTTGGTCATCTAATAGCTGGGAATTGCAGCCAACCGTTGGATGCCCAAAATTAGTGGAATATATATATATATAAATTGAGAGTGACAATTGACAAAGAATCTATTTCTAATACAACACCTTACATTACAAGTTATTAGTATGAATAAAAATGGACGGTTATTTTCTAAACCACGTGTAAATTAAATATAATATTGGATAGTGGCAGGTTAATAACATATTCTAATCATGTTCTAACCAACAAACATTCGGGTGTCAACATTAATTCTAATATATAAAACTCTACCTAATTACGTGTTTTAGTGAGTGAGAGAAAGAGAATTTTATTATATAACCCACATAGAAAGATAAATTATTAAAACTCTACCTAAGTGAAAACGATTATTAGATTTTTCTTTTATATTTCTTAAACCCTACCCTGCTTTCTTATTATTAAATAATTTTATTATATAATATATTTTTTTAATCTTTGATACTTGATAGGTAGCGTCAACTGCAAATATCATATCATAAATACAATATAAATACAAAGTTAATATGGTGACAGTATATGACAAACACTACACCTCACATGCTTCAGTGAACACTTGCAGCTTCGTTCATTATTTTTATATTATATATATAAAAAAAGCTGGAACCAGTTGAAAGTCAACCAAATGAGCCAATGGAATTGAGTGGAGGCGGCAAAACCGCACAAGTTTTCTCTCCCATACCCCTACATAACCGGGTTCGGGTCATTTAATTCCCATGCCTTTCGGAGTGGGAACTAACCCAATTAACATTGGTTCATTTAGCCAAAACGATTTCTCCGGTTTGGGGGTGAGTAAGCCTGGAAGATGTTGTTGATGAGGTCCAATAGTACATTCCCAAAAGCTGCCGGAGTTAGGCTCAGGGACA